TCTCTCTCTCTCTCTCTTCTCTCTCTCTCTCTCTCTCTCTCTTTCTCTTTCTCCCCCCTCTTTCTTTCTCTCCCCCCTTCCTTTCTTCCTTCCTTTCTTTCTTTCCTTCCTTCATTTCTTCCTTCCTTCCTTTCACCCACCCTTCCTACCTTTCTAGGGCTCGTTGTCTTCATCCACAATGGGCTTTGTGCCCTAGTTTAACATAATGATAAATCCAACCCTGATTATTACCTTTCAGAGAACTATCAGCATGACCTACAATTTATGTTAAATCATTTGCATCAACGAGAATTAGGGTCCTAAACAAATAAACTGCAAGAGAGTTTTGTAGGAAAAAATTTTTGGTGGGTGACACTGTTATTTGCCAGAATTTCAAAAATGTATTTGGGCAAAGCACTTTATAGTTCTGTCTTTCTTAAATACCATGTTGGGTAACAACTAGGCATATCATCATCTTGTAAGATTTATGCCCTAGAGGATTGTTTGAAGTATAGTGCCAAAGGAAATAGCTGAAGGTAACTCATTAGGCAGTAGGACAAATGCAGTCAGTGTATCACAATGAATTCAAATTGGTGAGTTCTTGATCAAGGCTGGAACTGATGACTGATTCCCATGTTAATATTTTAGGCATGAAAATCTGTATATTTTATAATGCTAGCATGTCCACACTAGGGTAAATGTTGTATACCAGTACTGAAGTTCAGGAAGCAGAGACAAGGACACACTTTCTATCAGGTGAAAATATACATTTGTGGGGGTTCTGCTACTGATTCAGTGGGTCTGGGCCTTAAAAATTGCCTGGATGGGACCACCTAAGAATCAGATGCAAGTCACTCAGTTCACTGAAGTAAATGCAAAGTCTAGGTATGACAATGAGGTAACTAAAATGTTACAGAATGAATGTGCACCCATACACATTTTCAGATCTTCAAGCATAAAAATCTACCATGAGAACTGTCCTTAACATATTCAAAGACAAAATGGGTCTAGTAAAGATCTAAGAACCATGGTAACAGCAATCAAAATTGCTATAATTACAAAACCTGCATGAAAGATATAATTAAAGAAAGTCTTCAGAGAATTTTCTGGAAGAAGGTCAAATACAGTTTCCCCATCTTTGAGAGGCTCAGACGTAATGCTTGCTGTTTCAGAGGTCCTTTTAATATGCAATATACATAAGATACAAATTAGACCTGTCAGTTTCTCTAATGTTGATGAAGTGTGTGTTAAAATACTGATAACATGCTTTCTCGTCAAGTGGCCAGGGAATTTGTGATTATCCCTCTGCACACAACACCTGAAACATCTGTGCGGGAAATTGATGAACTCTATGATGTATATCTAGATATAAAACGACTTTGGAAGACTGAGGTTAGTCACCGTTACTCTGGTATGTTTGTGCTACTGAATGAAACCCTGAAATCAACTCTAGTCAGAGCACAGAAGGCACTTTCCCTAGAAGTCACACCACCAGCACAGGATGGAAAGTCCAATTTCTGTGAGCTCTCTCTCAAACATAGTCCCTTTTTCCTGTCTCCTTTCTACGGAGATAACTGTCATACCTTGTGTGGTGAAACGGGGACCCGCCCTCAGCCCTGGGAGACTGAGGTGCTGTCCTGTGGCTCGCAAGCCCCCGTTTCGGTGGGACTATTTCGCTTCGTTAAATGCTGCCACCACTCACTGAATTGAGTTACTGCCTTCCTTGAGAGACAGTGAGACCCCTCTGGCTAAATTCCCCACCTTGAGAAGTGGGTACCTCGATCTTTGGACGCCCCCTGGAGAGTTGGCAACCCCTCAGATTTAGGCCCGTTTGTGTTCCCTGGCCTCCCTTTGCCCCTGGTAACATGCAGAGCGGGGAGGACTATGTGGTTAAGGCACACCAGGCTTTTTAAACTCAAAAAAGGAAGATTTATTCAACTACATACATATTGGGCACAGAAAATAAACACAGACACTTCAACACAACTGGGGCACAGAAAATAAACAGGATAAAAGCGCAATTCCTCTGTCCCTACCCTCACACCCTCTCTACCTCTGTAGTGGGTTGTGGCCTCAGGCCCGGATTTGTGTTTCCCCCTCCTGTTGTGGAGTAGGGTTTCCAAATGGGGGTGGGGAATCCCCTGCTTCGGAGGCCCGATTTCTGCCGCAGCGGAATCGCGCCCCGGGGGGAACTCCGCCCCCGAAGCTACGTCACCAGAGGTGACGCAGCCACGTCGCTCACGTTGGA